CTCAAGCTTGTCTTGTTTTTCCAAACGTCTACTGGAGCCAACAGGAATGTAAGAAGGTAGCAGCAAAAGGGGGCTCTCCCCAGCTATCAGTTTCTTTTAAGTATCCTTCCCAGAATACACAACACGTTCACTTTTATTTCACCAATTACAACTTGGTAACAGGGCCAATTCATTTAACTGGATATATTGCCATCTCAAGTAAAACTGGAGTCCTGCTACAGAGAAAAGAGGGAGAAGGTAGGTATTGAGTGGTGACCAGTAATCTCTGCAACATGGAGATACGACCAAAAGGCTAAGGAAGCATAGAGCAATAAAGCAGTTAGTTCTGGACCTTGGAAAAAGACTTTTTGGAGAAAGAGACACTTAATTTAGGGTTTGAAAGATAAATAGAGTTTTTCCAAATAAAGAATTGGTCAAGGGGATTCTTGACAGAAGTAACAGCATGTGCAAAGGCACCGAGGGAATCTGGCATTATATCTGCCAATTCTGCCCATTTATGCATTCCTAGTTATTTTTCTCTGTTAGTGATAATTGGTCTTAAAATAACAGTTTAATTTTTAATTAATCTAAGTTACTCAAGATCAACAGATTAAAATATGTCGAAAATGATTACCCTGGTATAATTGCAAACAATTTTCCACTTGGACCCAACAAGAACATTTTATCTGATGATAAAGTCTTCCACATTTTAAAAATAATTGAGTTAGAATATTTTGGCATCTTAAAGAGAAATTGATACAGAGAAAAGAACAAACACAATCGTGTCAGGGAGATGTTTGTCTTTTAAACACCAAAGTTAAACAACGCACACCCATTTATGGACCACATCCTGGGGTCCATAAACCCACACTGAGAGCGCTAAGTCAGGGGTCTGGCCAAGTTAGCCTTAAAGTATGTCACCTCATATTTAGCTATTCCTAATATGACTGTTACTTTGGATCCATGAAGCTGAATTGTTCTTTTCTTAAAATGGTTTTGGAACCATAAGAAATCTTTAGGATTAGAGAGGGATTTTCATGATTATCTCCTTTGGCTCTGTGAGAGACATCAGAGTCTGCAAACAAAATTTTCCAGAGAAACTTAAATCTTTCGAGAAACCTGAAATTCCTATAATTTAAGGAGTAAATCCTGTTAGGTTTGAGAAGACTGGGAATATATATTCCCATGCCCACTGCCCAGCTTGTCCTCCCACATAGTTAGGGATCTTGTAAGATTAAACCCATCTCTCTTCAGTTTTGAGCCGCAGAACACGAGGGTCAGTACTCCTTTGCTGACTAAATTAGGAGGGCCTTGCTTCTTGAAAGGAGTCCACCCGCCAAGGCAATCCAGTGATTTTAGTCTTGTGACATTCTTTTATTTTTGCCAACTTTGGTTTTTGCTTCCTCTCTAATTAGCTAGGATCTAGGCATTCCTAAAAGATATGGCAAACCTCAYAGCAACACCTCCCTCCAGCTGGTAACTCTTGACTCCTCATTCGCTTCTCAGCTCCAAAAATCTCTTCCTCCGTCAATTCCTCTTTGGTCTCTCTAACCAAATAAATTCTCCATATTTTATCCTCTCAGTGTACCATGTGCCTGTGTTTTATAGCTTTTCTCATCATTCTTTTTTTTACTTTTATTGTGTGTGATATTTGAGAAATAGCTGCCTCTCTCACTGCCTCTCTCCTGTACGTCTCAGGAGGATGGGCCCATATGTGCTTAAATTCACCATTGAATTTTGCTTCCAGTACASTGCCTGGCCCATAGCAGGTCTTCAATAAATGTTACTTAAATGGTTAAATGACTTAAAAAAATAGATACTGTACAATCACATTTCACACTATACTCAGAATACAAATGAATAGAGAATCAAATGTATGATATGTCAGTTCATGTGTGGGGCCATCTACAGATAAGAATTTTTAGAATAATTTTTCTATAGTTACACAGAAACATACCAAAGGTCAAAGCCAGAATGTTCTTGGCTTTACATGGATGAAACCTGTTTGAATTGTGATACGACCTCCTTGCAGCCTCTGAGTAGATTGAGGTGACCACAGTGAACCCACAGGATGGAGCCAGTCTGTCTTTGTTCCCCACTTTAGTATTCAGCATGATATTGTCCTAATATCTCTGCTTTAAAAAATTGCAATTATTGAAGGCATTGTTGCTTTGTCATCTATTTAAGACATGTTTGGGTTTYCAAATGAAAAAAAAATGCATTACTATATTTTAAAAATAGATTCCATATATAACACAGTGCTAAATAATTATTTTTTAAATGTTGGCTTAACTATATGTTTATAATTACTAATTAAAGGTATGAAAGGAAAATCAAGCCTCAAGGAAGGACCAGGTTTACTAAAGAAGGATGAATTGTAAAAACTTTTTGGAGATACACCCCTTCAGATATCACTCCAGTTCTCATAATTTAAACAGTTTGGGATAGAATGAGTCCAAATGTTAGCTCAAACTAGAACTATAACATATATAACCTGGTATAATTTGAAATTGATTATTTTATTTCATTTCTCTTTTTTGGGGTGGGTGGTAGTACTGGGGATTGAACACAGAGGTGCTCTACCACTGAGCTATATCCCCAGACCTTTTTTTATTTTTTATTTTGAAACAGGGTCTTACTAAGTTTCCATAAGTTTTGATCTTGCAGTCCTCCTGTCTTGACCTCCTAAATAGGTAAAATTATAGCCATGCACCACTACTCCTGGCTGGATTTGATGGTTTTAAAAATCAAACATTAGAAAGAAAAGAATAAAGATGCCCTTCAATGGATGAATGGATAAAAAAAATGTGGCATATATACACAATGGAATATTACTCAGCACTAAAAAATAACAAGGTAATGGATTTGCAGGGAAATGGACGGCATTAGAGCAGATTATGCTAAGTGAAGTTAGCCAATTTCTAAAAACAAATGCCGAGTGTCTTCTCTGATATAAAGGGGGTGATTCAAAATGAGGCAGGGAGGAAGAGCATGAGAAGAAGATTATCACTAAATAAGGAAGAGAGGTGGGAGGGAAAGGGAGGGAAAAGGGGAATTGCATGGAAGATGGAAGGAGACCCTTATCGTTATACAGAATACATGTATGACGATGTGAGGAAAAAGGAAAAAAAAAAGAAGTGTGTCTCATTAGATTGGGTAGAGAGAAGTGATGGGAGGGGAGGGGAGGGGTGGGGGAGGGGGTATAGGAAGGACAGCAGAATAAAATAGACATTATTATTGCTGTATGTATATATGTGACTGCATRACCAATGTGATTCTGCAACCTGTACACTCAGAAAAATGAGAAATTATATGTATGATATGTCAAGATCATTGTACTGTCACTTGTAACTAATTAGAACAAATAAAAATAATATGGAAAAAAAGAAATATTACAAACATCAACTATAGCCAAAAAAATAAGTTTTCCCACTTACTTTGTAAAGACTTGTGACTTTATCAAGTCGAATTTGGAGTAAGCATAAATATTTTATTAGAAGACTTTAGAACTTGGCTTCTTACTAGCCAAGTGACCTTGGGAAAGATTAATAGCCTCAAGTACAAGGTGGGGATATCATATATAATCATTGTGGGATTCAATGACATATCTGTATTGTGTTTGGTACCGGAGAGGCCCAGGCAAAGAACAGGCTCTGCCACCCTCCATTCCAACCCTCCAGTTTCCTCCATATAAATTTATGGACCTCATGTCTGATAGCTGGCTCTGTCTCTTTTTTTCTTAGCTGAAGTGCTAGCTAGAAAAGAAAGTATCTTCACTTCATTCATCAATACTTTATTAACTCATAGTCTACTAAACATTCTTCCAATTGCTTGGAATGTGTCAATAAGCCCAATATACAACCCCTACCCTTATGTAGCTCACAWTCTAAGGGACATAGAGAACCTGCAGATTATTTGTAAAGTGCTTCCTGATGCTTACCTCATGACTGAATATTTTATCAGTTTGACAAATCATAATTATTGACACTGGGAAATATTTTTTAATTTTTTAAAATTTTAATTTGTTATATATGACAACAGAATGCATTATAATTCATATTGCACATAGAGAGCACAATTTTTCATATCTCTGGTTATACACAAAGTTCAGTCACATTCTTTGTGTCTTCATACATGTACTTAGGGTAATGATGACCATCCCATTCTACTGTCTTTTCTGCTCTTCTAATCCCTCCCTACCACTCCCTCCCCTTTCCCCTTTGCCCTATCTAGAGTTCATTTAATCCTCCCATCCTACCTCCCTGCAGCATATTATGAATTAGCATCCTTAAATCAGAGAAATCATTCGGCATTTGTTTTTCTTTGGGGGGGGTTGGCTAATTTTACCTAGCATTATATTCTCCAGCTCCATTCATTTTCCTGCAAATGCCATGATAWTATTCTCTTTTATTGATGAGTAATATTCCATTGTGTATATACACCACATTTTCTTYATCCATTCATCTACAGAAGGGCATCTAGGTTGGTCCCACAGTTTAGCTATTGTGAATTGTGCTGCTATAAACATTGATGTGGCTGTGTCCCTGTAGCATGCTGTTTTTAAGTCCTTTGGGTTTAGACAGAGGTGTGGGATAGTTGGGTCAAATGGTGGTTCCATTCCCAACTTTCCAAGGAATCTCCATACTGCTTTCCATATTGGCTGCACCAATTTTCAGTCCCACCAGCAATGTATGAGTGGGCCTTTTGACACTGGGAAATATTTTTAAATTAATATTCTGTCATAGCAATAGTTCTTCTCTCCCTTACTCTTTCCCCATCCTTTCCTTTTCCCGTTCTCTCCCTTCTACCTTCTTCCTATATGTATATTTGAACAGTRAAGATATCTTTACCCATGTTATTTTTATTTCTTCTTAGCTTGGTTCAAACTGTTTCATYTCAGTCCCCTTCACAGGAAGTATGTTTTGGGGTCCCTGGGGGAGGGTAATTTGGTGGCAAATAGCCTTATGGATCCCAGCATTGGGAGAAGCCCGGTTGAATTACACCTTTCTCTCTCTTGTTAGATCGTTGGCTGTGACCACCAGCTGGGAAGCACCGTCAAGGAGGATAACTGTGGGGTCTGCAATGGAGATGGGTCCACCTGCCGGCTGGTCCGAGGGCAGTATAAATCCCAGCTCTCTGCAACTAAATGTAAGACACTACAGAGATGGGGCAATCTTTGGACTTGTTAACTTGTTATCCTTCCCCGGTTCGGCTCTGGTTCCCTGAGCAACCAGGGAAATAACACCTCCACCAAAGTGGAGAAGAATTTGAAAATGCTGAGGAAAGCTTCATATCCCCACTTTGTGGATCAGTTTAAATGGGTCAGGTCAAGTCAGGTCACTGGTTGCAATGCCAAGAAGGAACTCTTTCCTTCTGAGGCTCAGCAGGAGGGATCTAGACATGTGTCTAGAGATGCTCTCTGAGCAAACATGGATTCTGCTGCCCAATAAGAGGATGGACTATATTCAAGCTCCTGCCTGGGATATAGAGGAGAGAGTGGGAAGCCAGAAACCACTCCCCAGCTGTCACTGTCAAATCACATGATTTGTATTTACCAAGGGGCCTTTCAGGATTAATATTGGTGGTGATTATGTAAAGCCCTTTATTGATCTTTATGTCCCAAATTCTGTACACCAGCAAATATGTGCTTACTATATATATGCATGTGCCTAGAATTTTAGCTGATCATCTCACTTAATCTTTTTAGCAATCACAAGAGCAAGGTAGTATTAATTTCCATGAGGTAGATAAGATGACTGAAGCTCACTAGATTATATGACTTTCTTAAAGTCACAGAGCTATAAAGATCCAGTTAAGACCACTCTGATACTCAAGGACATACACATTTAGTAGTATTTTGTCCTTACTTGGCCTGTTTTCTCCAGATATTACCTTTATCCAGAATCTCAATTGATCTGTGATTCAGGATCTCTTTCCACCTGTCTCCCCTGACTCAGGAAATGAAAATGAGTATCTTTGCTCAGTGTGGTTTTGTTCTCCTGACTTGTCAATTTGTTGGAGAAAAACAATTGGCTTAAGGTGAGTTTGTGGCTTTACATGGACTTGGAGGTCAAGAAGGAAGATAAGTGCAATTGTTTTGAGGTGCACTGGAGAGCTATTCAGAGAGGTCATAAGGTGACTTGCCAGAAGGGTGGGCCTGGGGAAGAAGGAGCAGGAAGACAGACCTCGGACCTTCAACACAGGGGGAAAAAAAAAAACCAAAAAACAGAGGCACTAGCTTCAGGAACTCTCCACATTCTAGCTTCCCAGAAGCCATGAAAAATATAATTCTGTAAAAATTAAAAATTTTTAAAAAGACTGTCAGGCTAAACTGAGGATGAGGTAACTTAGACATTAGTACAGTACATTCAGGTGAGATTTTTCTTTGGTCATGTGTTGTAACTTTTATAAGATGAAAAATTAAAGAAATTTGAAGATAGAAACCAGGAATGAATAGAGGCGTGATTCTTAGATTCCTCTCTGAAGCTATGGTTGGATATTTAAGGGAACAATTATATTGAAAGGGTAACTCTTGGGCTATAATTGTAACTCAATGGTAGAGTGCTTGCCTAGCATGTGTGAGGCACTGGGGTCAATTCACGGCACCTCATATAAATAAATAAATTAAATATAAGGGCCATTGACAACTAAAAAGAAGAGGAGGAGGAGGAGGAGGGGGAGGAGATGACGACGAYTCTTGCCTCTTACAGAATTCTTTAAGGAATACTGGAAAAATTAAAATCTTTCTATTTGTCACATAATTGAGTGGGTGCCCATTATCTAGGAATAACCATGGGCACAAAGGGGGATGCCACGTATGTGTAATAACTACTGTCTGGTGACTTCTGACAGCACGTGTTCCTGGTGGGGATCCTTCTGTATTCTCATGCCCCCCACCTTTCATTTTCACGGAGGAGCCAGAACACTGATCCAATAGACATTCTTCTTGTCCTCCTGTTAGGGAGTGACTCATGACCACTGGGCCTTGAATCACAAAGGTGTAACAAAGGTGAAGAAACTCTTAAGGAAAAAAAAAAATGAAACAAATTGGGAGCCATATGTCAAGTTCAGGTCTGCAAACAAATACCTCAATGAAAAGTGCTCTATTCAAGACCAACAGTGGGTAAATTATATAACACACAAGCTGATGATTACACATAATGACAAAATGCAATTGATTCGTTTACCTGAGCACTGATGATGCCTCACGACAAAATGATTTATATCAATAAAGTCCAGCTTATGCAATGCACCTCACCACAATCTATAGCAGATGCTGACCAAACTGCCTCACTTATGTTTTCTCCACCCCAGAAGAACCTTCTACCCTATATTTACAGACTGCGAGGCAGCCCCCAGGCAGGGAAGATTAGGCTGCTCTGCAGGACCCAGAGTGCTGGCCAGGTGAGCTGTGCTCCACCCCTGAGGGTCTGGAGGAGTTCTGCCAGGTCTCTCCTCAAGTTCTGCCAAAAGGAGCCATAAGCCAGCCACATGCTCTTTTCAAACTCTTAGCATTTGGATTCCCCACATTGAACTCATTTTCTTTCTAAATTTATATCCAAGGTTTCTTTTTTTTTTCCCCCGTATGTTATCAAGACTCAGGGGAACAAAGAAAAAACAGAAGAGTGGAGAAAGACTAAGGTCGAACGTGCCAGAAGGAAAAAGAGAAATCAGAGGAACTTATCAAATGGCTGCCATTTACTGGTGAATAAAAAAGAAACCATTTTTGTAGGAAAAGACATTATAATTGACTATTACAAATACAGACCATGGAAATAAAGAAAAATCAAGGCTCTTCCCTCTTTTTAAAAGTACAAGACTATCTTTACATTTTTTCCTGGTTACTTCTAGACTGGCCCAGCCTAATTAAAGAAAAAAAAATAATCAATTAGTTAACATTACCTTGCTTTTCATTCTTAAAATGTAAATGTTCATTTTCCCACGAGTTTTATTAACTTATATTATGTCTTTTCCAAATATACTTAGAAAGTACTTAGACCTAGAGCCAGCCTATTTGCTATTAATTTGTCTACAACTTTGTAGACCTCTCATCTCTCTGTATTTTGAAACACTTGGGAATCCTAAAACCCTCTCTCTCTCTCTCTCTCTCTCTCTCTCTCTCTCTCTCTCTCTCCCTTTCTTGAGTGGCAGAGGCCAGACAAACTAATTTATATCCAGATAAAATGAGTCTCAAAGATGTGCTACTCAGACTGTGACTCATAGTGATTTATAATGGCTATGGGTAAACATATTCCTGGACTATAACTCAAATTATTAATAATAAAACAAATACATATAAATCCCTATAGGTACAAAATACATATGATTTTTAAAGACAGCATAAAGCAGTAAATAAATTTCYACCTTGTACCTAGATGCTTCAAGCTATAACCATTAGCCACCCAAGGATATATATTCATTTGGTCAACAGCAAGTACTTACTGGGCATCTGCTATGTGCTTAGGAACTGTTCTAGGTGCTGGAAACACAGAAAAGACAAAAATCCTTTTGTGCATATACTAGTTTCAGGGGCAGATCGGTGAAACATACATAAAATGCATATATGTCATAAGGTGTTAGGAACTATAGAAAAAGTAAAGCAGGGAGAAGCACATGAGATGGGGATGGGCTGCCAGCCAGGAGTGTTGGAGTGGAGTTGCAATTTTAATAGATTACTAAGGAAATGACTCATTGATAAGAAAGCATTTGAACAAGTATTTGATGGAGGATGAGGAGAGCATAATGCAAGTCATGGGGAAGAGAAAAAGCAAATGCAAAGTTCCTGTAGTACGTACATTTGTGACATATTTTACAAAGAACAAAGAAGCTGATGGTGACTACAGGGAAAGTGAGTTTCAAAAATTCTAGAGGAAATTATGAAGGCAGGAAGTTCATGAGGTGGGGTTAGAATGGCCTGGGCATTGCAGAGTCATGTAAGGACTTCGCCTCTTAGTCTGAATGAGAGRAAAAGTCATGCAGGATTTTGAACAGAAGACTGACTTCCCTTGATTTATTTTTTTAAGGGATCACTCCATCCATGCTGAAAGTAGACTGTAGTGGGAAACAGTAGGGAAACAGATGGGAAGCTACTACAGTAGGTCAGGTCACTGATGATGACRGCTTGGACCAGTAACTGTGGAAGGGAATAAAAGTGGTCCAGTTCTGGATATAGTGTATTTCTTTGAATCTAAGACATCACTGATTGCAAGATGCACTATTATTTTAGGTGCTATAGGTGGAGAAAAAACAGCCATTGAAACTAAGAAACTATGACATAATGCTTTCAGATCACTTAGGGTTTTTACTTCATAGTTTTTAAAAGATCTATTTTAAATTTAGAAATATTTTTAATCATCTGCTACCCTTATACATACAACTGAAATAAACTGAGAAGTAAAACTAAACTAAGGCTTTTTCTCAAACAACTCTTTTTAATCACTTTTGACTTTGTACAACATCAGGAGCTCTTGTGTTAGAGCATTTTGAAAAGAATACACAAAACAATTCAAATCTTTTGATACTGGTCCTTTAAAAAACAATTTATTGAGCTATTAATTGGCACTTAATGAATAGCATATTTAAAGTGTACAGTGCACACACTGTGCAACCATCACCATGACCAAGGTCATAAACATATCCACCATCCAAAAATTTTCTTGTGCCTCTTGTAATCCTTCCTGTTTCTTCCTGAACCTTCCCCCAGGTAACCACAGATGCTCTTTTGTCACTACAGATCAGATTGCATTTCTGGACTTTCATATAATTTGATTTATACATACATACTCGCTCTGTYTGGTTTCTTTTATTCAGCATTATTTTGAGATTCATTAATATTGCAGTACCAATACTTCATTTTATTTTATTGCTGAGTGATAATTTCATCATATGGACATACCACATTTTTTTACCCATTTGTTGATGGGCAGCTGAGTTGTTTCCACATTGAGGCTTTTGTAAATAAAATTTTTATGAACATTCACGTATGGACATACACTTTGATTTCTGTAGGATAAATTCCTAGGAGTAGGATGGCTGGATCATATGGTAGGTGTATATTTCACATTTTAAGAAATTGCCACACTTTTTTTCCAGAGTGGCTTACTACTTTTCATTTCCATTAGCAGTGCATGAGAATTTCACATGTTCTG